AAATAAATATATATAATATAAATATATATATACCACCTCACCTTTTCCCCAGTATTAAAATGACTACAGAAATGCCCTACCTAGATAAAAAGGAGACAAGCTCACGTACGGTGTAGTCAGGTGAAGAACACGTTGGAAAAGATACGCCCCCCCCCCCCCAAAAAAAGGTACCAAACAACTTCTGTCACAGGTAAAGACACTAAACATTAAACACCAAATGTCAAAACCAACCATCGCCAAACTTACATGGCATCCAGGTGTCACATAATAAGCTAGTAGTGTTTATTATTCTTTACAAAAGAATAGATACCAGTAGCTTAGGCAACACCTGGATTTTGACACTCCACTCAAAAGCGAGATTTGCCTAAAGCAATGAACTCCAGGTATTTCCGGTATGATTTCGGCTTCAACAATAGGGATACAAGCATGTTAAGTCCTACAATCTTTCCTACGAACACCAAATGCCATGCCCAATGTTCGGATAGGACAATGGTAGCTGGGCAGAATTAGACGTGTACGATTCGCGCACCCAACTTGAAGGATATACGCCCATGGTTATGCGGCGATAGATGTCTACCACCTCTCTGTACGTTCACGGCAACATTCAACACTGCCTAGGAAGATATTTGAATTAATACTTCCTGCCGACTACAGAAATGCCCTACCTTGATAAAAAGGAGACAATCTCACGGTTCGTCGGGTGAAGAACACTTTTGAAAGATACGCCCCCCAAACTTACCAACCAGCCCTTGTCACATCGTTTTAATTGGACATGAATAACCACCAAAGCGTCGACTCCCAAAGGATAACCTGCCAAAGGTCAACAAGCAAAAGACTTTTCTTCCATCGCCATCGACGCCACATGCCACCATTAAGTATTATTGCTTTTTCAGCTAGCAGTGGTACACTGCACTTTGCGGACACGGTTCGATGTCCGGGGGAAAAGGAAGAGTAAAGAATCATGGCGACGCCTCCCCCATGATATAAATTTTAGCAATATGCCTCTACCATCTCTCTGTATGTTTATGGCAAGATTCAACACATAGGTAGATACTCCAAAACTTTCCCCTGTGTTAAAATGTCCTACTTTGATATAAAGAAGACAATCCCACGGTGTCGTCGGGTGCAGAACACTTTTGAAAGTTACGCCCCCAAAAAGTTACCAACCAGCCCTTGTCACATCGTTTTAATTGCACATGAATAACCACCAAAGCGTCAACTTCCAAAGGATAACCTGCCAAAGGTCAACAAGCAAAAATTTTCTTCTATCGCCATCTACGCAATTTTTTTTGTCAGCAGGGCTTTGGGAACACGGATCGATGTGCGGCTAAGTCAAGAATCATCGCCCCCCCCCCCATAATAGAATAAGGCATGTAAGGGGACGATCCACGCACCCAACTTCAATGTTTTACGGCGGAATTTTTGTAGCAATGTCTTCACCACCTCTCTGTATGGAAATATTCACCAACACACAGGGAAATATTCCAAAACTTTGTCCTGTCTAAAATGACTACAGAAATGTCCTACCTTGATAAAAAGGAGACAAGCCAGGTGAGAACACTTTTGGAAGATACGCCCCCCAAAGTTACCAACCAGCCCAGCCATTTAAATTGCACATGAATACCCACCAACGCGTAAACGCCCGAAGGATAACCTGCCAAAGGTGAACAAGCAAAAGACTTTTCTTCTATCGCCATTCGGCGACGCCACATGCCACCATCAAGTATCATTGCTTTTTCAGCAGTGGTACACTGAACTTTGCGGACACGGTTCGATGTCCGGGGGAAAAGGAAGAGTAAAGAATCATGGCGACGCCTCCCCCATGATAGAAATTTTAGCAATATGCCTTTACCACCTCTCTGTATTGTTTTTGTCAGCAGGGCTTTGGGAACACGGATCGATGTGTGGGGAAGTCAAAAATCATGACCCCCCCCCCCCAAGAAAATAGAATAAGACATGTAAGGGGACGATCCACACACCCAACTTCAATGTTTTACGCCCGTATTTTTGTAGCAATATGTCTTTACAACCTCTCTGTATGTTTATGGAAATATTCAACAACACACAGGTAAATATTCTAAAACTGTCTCCTGTATAAAAATGACTACAGAAATGTCCTACCTTGATAAAAAGGAGACAATCTCACGGTGTCGTCAGGTGCAGAACACTTTTGAAAGATATGCCCCCCAAAGTTACCAACCAGCCCTTGTCACATGATTTTAATTGCACATGCATGAATTACCACCAAAGCGTCGACTCCCAAAGGATAACCTGCCAAAGTTCAACAAGCAAAAGACTTTTCTTCCATCGCCATCGACGCCAAATGCCACCATTAAGTATTATTGCTTTTTCAGCTAGCAGTGGTACACTGGACTTTGCGGACACGGTTCGATGTCCGGGGGAAAAAGAAGAGTAAAGAATCATGACGACGCCTACCCCATGATATAAATTTTAGCTATATGCCTTTACCACCTCTCTGTATGTTTATGGCAAGATTCAACACATAGGTAGATACTCTAAAACATTCCCCTGTATAAAAATGTCCTACTTTGATAAAAAGGAGACAATCTCACGGTGCCGTCGGGTTAAGAACACTTTTGAAAGTTACGCCCCCAAAAAGTTACCAACCAGCCCTTGTCACATCGTTTTAATTGCACATGAATAACCACCAAAGCGTCAACTTCCAAAGGATAACCTGACAAAGGTCAACAAGCAAAAGACTTTTCTTCTATCGCCATTCGGCGACGCCACATGCCACCATCAAGTATCATTGCTTTTTCAGCAGTGGTACACTGGACTTTGCGGACACGGTTCGATGTCCGGGGGAAAAGGAAGAGTAAAGAATCATGGCGACGCCTCCCCCATGATAGAAATTTTAGCAATATGCCTTTACCACCTCTCTGTATTGTTTTTGTCAGCAGGGCTTTGGGAACACGGATCGATGTGTGGGGAAGTCAAAAATCATGACCCCCCCCCCCAAAGAAAACTAGAATAAGACATGTAAGGGGACTATCCACGCACCCAGCTTCAATGTTTTACGCCCGTATTTTTGTAGCAATATGTCTTTACAACCTCTCTGTATGTTTATGGAAATATTCAACAACACACAGGTAAATATTCCAAAACTTTGTCCTGTGTAAAATGACTACAGAAATGCCCTACCTTGATAAAAAGGAGACAGGCTCACGGTGTCATAGGGTGCAGAACACTTTTGAAAGTTACGCCCCCAAAAAGTTACCAACCAGCCCTTGTCACATCGTTTTAATTGCACATGCATGAATACCCACCAAAGCCACAACTTCCAAAGGATAACCTGCCAAAGGTCAACAAGCAAAAATTTAGCCATAATAGAATAAGACATGTAAGGGGACGATCCACACACCCAACTTCAATGTTTTACGCCCGTATTTTTGTAGCAATATGTCTTTACAACCTCTCTGTATGTTTATGGAAATATTCAACAACACGTAGGTAAATATTCTAAAACTTTCTCCTGTATAAAAACGGCTACAGAAATGCCCTACCTTGATAAAAAGGAGACAACTCGCTCACTGTGTCGTCAGGTGAAGAACACTTTTAAAAGATATGTCACCACTAGAAAAGTTACCGAGAAAATTCAGACACAAGTAAAAGACCGGGATCAGAGTCTGAGACATTATAGCTAGAGTACAGCTTGTGTCGAAATGTGGCTGGAAGAAAGCGCTCTGAATTGTGGCGGGACTTGCAGAATACATCGATCCACGCAGTTTTGAGTTTACAAAAGGGAGCCGCAGACTTTGAAATAATCTTCACTTTTACCAGTATCTAATCACAACTCATGCGTTTAGTTAAGATAAGTGGCGGGAAAATATGAATATACCAGAGTATGAACATATCGGTATTCTTGGCCGTTTCAGCGCAATTTTAGGAACAAGACTTGCCTGGGCCAGTTTCTTACCTCGACGGCCGAGTCCTGTCAACAACCGCCCTGCCACATTTACGATCGACCCAGTCGACAACTTCAAGGATATATAAACGCTTCCGAGTCCCCTCTCCCCCACCCTACGTGTTTGTCGTATAGCCAATTGTATATTTGCTGGATTTTGGGAAACGTCTCGATGTCCGGGAAAGAACGAAGAGAAAGAATAGTGCCCCCTCCCCCGCCACTATGACAGAACAAGACGTGTACGTTTACCCAGCGTCAAGGTCTCACCGTATCAATGCAGCAAAAGGTGTCTACCACCTTTGTATACTCTCCTCAACATTCAACATTACTTAGATAGATGTTACGCGTACCTTTTATATAGAAATGACTTAAGAAAAGTCCTACCTTGGTAAAAAGGAGACAAGCTCACGGTGTCTTCAGGAGAATAACACTTTTGAAAGACACGCCCCTAAAATGTTACCAAACAACTTCTGTCACATTGTCTTTAAGCAAACACGAATAACGACCAAAGGATGGCACCCTCTAGGGTATGAGACTTGCCTAGGGTCACTGCACAAAAGACTAGAGTCATCGACGCCAAATACTACCAAAAGGTTAACGTCATTAGACATTGCCCATAACTAACATAGTGCAACCACACCCTTCCAACTGTAGTTAGAATTCCCTCTAAATGGAGCGTATGCTTGATCTAAAAAAATTCATTTTCTCTAATTTCTGGACAGTAACGTCTCCTGAATAAAACGAATGAAATTTCTTTAACATTCCGGTGTTTTATGCTTCCAGTGCGCTACCATGGTTAGGCAAGTCAGTTTTAATGCTGCAGGCTAAATGATGATTATCTATGATGTCTTCATTCTCGCTTATATATGTACAGAATTGCTAGTCTCCAGCTATCCTTCCCATCGTAGACTAAAATAGGAAAAAACGCGTTTAAATATAGTTATCAAAAGAGAAAAAAAGTAAGTTTTACGGAGTAAGTTTCATGTAAGGAACCACGGGGAACGCCCCTTGAACTTTGAACCTTGACTGACACTTGAGTCGCTGTCCTCGTTTTAAGGTTCATCGCATCAAGAAAATCTCCAGAGATCGTTGCCTTGCGGTTTTACCATTGGTTAGATTTTTTGCGCGCCGGGTTCAAAGACTCTTGCGTAGTTTGATGCCAACAAATCTGGAAATTTTGAAATTAGTGAACTTTATGGTGTGATGAACCAAAGTGGTTAAAAAAGACTGTAACTATTTCCTGTCGCGCACGTCGGTTCAGCAACTCTATAGATCCGAAGGCAATTCACTAATCACTGGACTATATACGCTACCAAAGAGTTGTACTTTAAAAAACTTACGTGAGAAATGTCATCAAAGTGGGATGGGAAAATCTCTTTCAAGTCGTCAGGATGCTGTAGCGAGAAGGACTTGAGTTTCACAACGTTGTCCGACTGGCCGAGACGAGCTACCTTCGTTCCAGTCCACACCGGCGGCTCCTGGAGTTCCCATCCGAAGAACGTGTTGAGGATGGCGATGCTGCCTTTGATTACGGACAGCGCGACGTCTCTACCCGGGCACATGTGGTTGTTGACCGCGGGTGTGTCCGTGAGTCGGCCGTGAAAGGTGACGTGGTGTTCCCGAAGAGCTTCTCCCTCGGGACCGAGAAACCTCCGCCACACGAAGTCGTCTGGTTTGTCGAACACAGCGGGATCCCTTAAAGCCCAGTAGGAACTGGCATACACGCGTTCGCCCTCTTTTATCTGAAAATAATGAAAATAGCAAATACGAGACTCAGAGTATAATAGCTTGATTATGGATAAAGTAGATCACAAGAGACTAGCTACATGGTCAAAAGTCTAGTTGTTACACTGGGGTAAGTTGGTAGGCGTTTATGTGCATTGGTTGTGTGTGTCTGTGTGTGTGTGTGTGTGTGTGTGTGTGTGTGTGTGTGTGTGTGTGTGTGTGTGTGTGTGTGTGTGTGTGCGAGAGAGAGAGAGAGTGAGTGGGTGGGAGGGAAGTGTGTGAGTGCAACTTTTACTTGTTACTCACCTTGACCTCCTTTGGACCACTTGCTGTTGTGTACTTCACAGTCGTTGGGCGTGCTGCAATGGTGCTCCAGAAATCTGGGCTGGGACTGAATCGCAGCACTTCCAACACGAAGCTCTCGATTTTCGGCATCTCCTCCAGGGCCGCTCGGGTCAGGCCTCCATGTTTCCTCAGGGCGGCAAGCGCTTCCTCCCGTAGCTCCTGCCGGTCTTCCGCGCTGATGGTGTCCAAGCGGGCGAAGGATGTCACCAGGTTTGCTGCGATGCCACCAACTCCATTGAACATTATCGCGAAGAGCAGTTGTCCCGTGGTCTCTTCCTCTTCTAATCCGTGAGATGTACCAAGATCTATCAGCTGGCGGTACCTTTGAATACAACACAAACGACTGAATGTGGATAGTGTCACCAAATATTAAGATAGTACATCTACATAGCCTTCTCGATCTCGAGTTGTATTCGCTGATACAGACCCCCGCACACACACAGACACGCACGCACGCGCGCACACACACACACACACACACACACACACACACACACACACACACGTGCCACATGCACAGGAAACGTACTAAACGTTTTGCCGAAAATTAAAATTCTGGTATATACAAGGTACGGTAAATCCTTCCCACCTACCTCTCTGATGTCTTTATTTTCTTGAGGACAGACCTCATCCCCCGTCCCGCCTCAGTAAGATCGTCACGCGTCACCGCGGCCAAGATGTCAGATCTTAATTCAGTTGCACCTTTGATATAAAGGTTGACATCCTCGGGATTGAAGCGTGTTGATCTCCCGAAGATGGTGGGAAGAAAAGCGCTCACCGACACTGCCAGTAACTTTGATTCGAAGTCGGTTGGTGTGCTTCCCCAGGTGGCGATGTTGGACAGCACGCCGTCTGCTGTTGATGCTGGGATGTCTTCGTAAGCCCCGGCGATGACGTCTAAAATCAGCGCCTTGTTTCTCTCGTGGATTTTTCCGTTAGTGGTGACGCTTGGGCAGACACCCTCCGTAAAGTCCTTGCGTATTTCTATCAGGCCAAAAAAGAATTCCTCCTTTTTGAAGAGGTCGATGTCAAAGACAGACTGCACGGCCTTGTTCCCGGTCACCACACGGCACGGAAATCCGATGTTTGTCTCCACGAAATCTTCTTTCCGATCAGGTGCGTACGTTTCGTTGTTGTGCGTCAGCCATCTAAGGTATCCAAGTGCGTTACCCATGGTTATATCGTCTCCCTAACAAAAGAAAATTGCTCTTTAAAGGGGCTTGTTAAAAGCTTCACTGCATAGCCCTCATCTTTTACACGAATTCTTCATCCCTTTTTACTCAGTTACACAACAACTAAGTGCTCCTACAAGCTGCACAACTTCCATGTGGAGAGACTCGTGCCCACGATTTTGGTGGTAGCGACAAAAAAAACGGCCCATATATGAAAAGCAAACGATTTTCCACCATCAACATCTGCTTGGAGAGTATATCCCTGGAGCTCTTCTGCACTAAGCGGCTTACTCACATCAACCATCGGGCCAATTTACGATGCAATACATCCCGCTAACAACACCAAACATTAACACCCCCTCCCCTCTCTACATGTACGGCTTCTGCAGCAAGGGTTCATGGAGAAGGTTCGAAGAACGGACGAAAGGGGAATCAAAGAATCATGGCCGGCTCTGAATCATTGTACGGTGACCAGTCACGCACCCAACTTCAACGTTATGCGCCTATATCTTTGCAGCAATGCATCAAGTAGGCCTTTCCACCTGTATCTTTTCAGCAACATTCAGCACTACATTCTAAAACTTTCTCCTGTACAAAAATGAGTACAGAAATGTCCTACCTTGATAAAAAAGAGAGAGAGAGAGACAAGATCACGGTATTGTTTGCTGGTGAAGAACGCTTGGCAAAGATACACCCTCCAAAGTTGCCAAACAACTTCTGTCACATGTCATTGACCTCTCCAGGTAAAAGTCACCAAACTAAAGGTTGTCGACATGTTTCAGACGCTCTGTATTTGAAAAGGTCAATTGTTATCTCTCTCAAGATAGTCCCTGGTTGGTTGAGAATTAATACTGGTACCCTTTTTCTACAATTTATGAAGTAACGTTTCTTGAATAAAACGAGAATATCAAGGTTCAAACGTTCATTGGTACGTGTGTTATGCTTCTCATGCTATCATGACTAGACGAGTCGGATTGAGGTTATTTTAAGGGGGACATGCATAAATGGCATCGAGCAGCACGAGTGTGACTGCATGGTGATTACAGTAACGATATCTTCGTTTTCAATCTCACTGCAATGTCAATGAATTGTGGGTTTTGTTTACACTTTACGTCCAGTCTGACACATAAAACAAGCAGAATACCACAAAAAGTGTTTTTATGCCATTTTGAAGGAAACTGCATGGGTGGATTGGCGCCTCCTGAACTATGCCCCCAGACACTTGTGTCACTGTTGTTGAGACTTTAAGGTTCATTGCATCGGGAAAACCTGTCTAAAGATCGCCTAAGGGCCGTTCTCATTCAGTTTTATCATTGGTTAAACTTTCTGTGCGCAATTTTCAAAGACATTTTAACTGTGCCGTACGTGTGACGCATTGAATATAACTATAAGCGGAGAATAGACCTTTTAATATCGCGTCTCACTCGGTTCTCAGCACGGCCAATACCTAGTAACGTTAAATATTCTTTAACTTTTTCATTCTCTGTATGTGACTACAAAAATGTCCTACCTTAAAGAGACAAGCTCACCGTGTCGTCAGGCGAAGACTTGAAAGACACGCCCCCCATAAAAGCTACCAAACAACTTTAGCCAAATTTAGTCTTTTGACCATCACTGGAAATCGGCCAAAAATTAGACCACGCACCGCTCGAGTTTATCTTCAAGTGAGTCAAGACCGAGTCTGCCAGCCAAGAGGAAAACAGGTGACACAAAGCGCAGAAACCGACATCTGTGCAGAGTGCAGACTATATATAAAAGCTACTGGAGATTGTCCTGGGATGATGACTGGCAATTGACACGATCCTCCAACCGTTGATGGCCGTTGATGCAGCCGTCGACGAAGTGACATAGATGCCACTTGTAGTGGACGATTTAATACTCCCCTGTTTATTATTCCCGCGAATATGGGAGCCACGGAAAACCAAACGTAACGGGTAGGATGGCACCCATTGCAGGAATTGCGAACGATTTGTGCTGAACTTTTCCCAACAGACCTCAATCTTGGCACTTCAGATCAAAACCGCTAGATGCCTCTTATCTATCTGTAATCAATAAAGGTCACTGCCCGCCATGACCATCGCAAATCGAGGGGTATACCGATTGATTTCTTACATATTTAAAGTATTTTGTCGATCCATGTTCTCGATAAAGACTTCATAATTATTTATATGAGTGGAAGAAATATGTTTTTCCCCCCTAAGTAGCTTTATCTGCAGGATTGCCAACGTTGTCGGTATCGCGAATTTACAAAACCCCCCTTAATAAATGGACCTGTCCGTAGTACCAGCTGGAAGGGTCAGTGCAGTTTCCAGCTACATACAATACAACTTTCCTAGATCAGCTGTCATTTGACGATTTTAAGATGACTGAGGAAGATTCCAGCGCGTCTGTGGACGTTGTTGTCATCGGTGGGGGTCTGTCTGGACTCAGTGCCGCGTACCACCTCTCTAAACGGGACAGTTCGTGTAGAGTTCTGGTTCTAGAGGCCAAAGGTAAATATTACTGTAAGCTGAAAATAACACAGTGTTTAATATGCGGTTTTAACACGAAGCGCGGTGGTGTTTTGACGTTATTCGATAGTTTTAACGTTTGCAAAATTATTATAGCAATCCCTGTGCCTTCTTTGTGTATTATACATGCGAATTTTAGGGTGTATAGAGCGTGATTTTGGATGGGAGGGCATTACAAAATATTGTACGTGCCCCTCCCCCCTTTTCAACAACAACAGATATTCTAAGAACGTAACATTAACGTTAATGATTTGTTTTGGTAGCCAGTTTGTGTAATAGTAAAATCAGGATTATGAAGTTAAAAAGCTTTAGAGAGACGTTTATTTTTCAAATAAAACTCGAAGTATACGCGTATATCCCCATACATACTGACCATGGTAAAGCATCTCTTGATATCTTGTTCTTTGAACCCAATGCTAAAGTCCATTGGTTTTCACTGATTATAAATATGCTGTAACTACTAACGTACTGTACATTTAATATCTTTACATGTGTTAAAGTTAAACCTAAGAAAATATTTGGGTGCACTGGTCACTGGTGCACCCACAGAAAAAAAATTGGATGCACAGCTCCAAGTTTGGGTGCATTAAGGTACACATGCACCCTGTAATTATTTCGAGGCCTGTATCCCCTGAACAGGCTTGTGACCTGTTCTGTTGTTCACATACATGTAGGTCGTGTTGGAGGTCGGACCCAGACTGTACCATTGCAGGGAGCGGGGGGACAGGATACCTGGGACTTGGGTGGGATGTGGGTAGGCAGGTAAACATACATGTTGTCTTGAAATTCATTTTTTGGAAGTAGGTGCACTGGTGCACCCAACCTAACAAAATGTATAAAAATTATGCATTTGCAAGTGCCCTTATTTAGTGCCCTAAAAAGAAGTGATTGTTGGCCTCTAGAGATTTTTCTTTAAAACTGCAATTTTTGTTAGTTACGGATAGATTTTATGATTTTTGTTGGTGGGTAGATCCCATCAATACAATACTTATTGTTTGTCACAAATTAGCAACATCACTAACTCATTAAAATTACTTGTGTTACTTGCTATCATTTGGCAACTATGTACAATTGTGATGGTGTGTGGGTATGCTTATGAAGATACAGGTACAGATACAGAATTGTGTATAACCACTATGATTTGCTCCTGTATATAGAACCCAGGTTCACATACTGCAGCTGCTGCAGGAGCTGGGCCTGCAGACGTATCCGCAGTACACCCGCGGCCACGCAGTCATGCAGCTGGGCTCGGCCGGCACGGTCGCCAAATATCGCGCTGACTCCTCTATTCCTAACCTCCCACTCCTCAGTCTGATCGACCTGCAGCTGTTCATATGGAAGGTAAAGTAAAACATTTTACACAAAAATGCTTGAAATCCTTTTTTTCTGAATACTGAATACAGCACAGATGACCCATTGTAAGATTACTAAGAATGACAACTGTGTGGTACAGTACAGGTGACCCAATGGTAAGAATGAGAGCTGTGTTGTATGGCACAGGTGACCCCTTTGTAAGGCCTTATTAGCATTTTGGTACAGTACAGGTGACCCCACTGTAACAATGACAGCTGTGGTCCAGCTATACATGTGTAGTACAGCACAGGTGTCCCCCTTTTTTGTTAGGATGGCAGTTGTGGAACAGTGCAGGTGGCACCCTTTTTTTGTAAGAATGATAACTGTGTGGTACAGTACAGGTGACCCCCTTTTTTGTAAGAATGATAGCTGTGTGGTACAAGACAGGTGACCCCACTGTGTAAGGATGACAGCTGTGTGGTACAGTACAGGTGACCCCATTGTAAGGATGGCAGTTGTGGTACAGTACAGGTGACCCCCTTTTTTGTAAGAATCATAGCTGTGGTACAGTACAGGTGACCCCATGGTACACCTGTGTTTCAGGTGGAGAGGATGCGGAAGCTTGTTCCCCCAGGTGACCCCGCCAGGTGTCCACACGCCCGTGAGTGGGACAGCATGACAGTGGAGACCTTCATGCAGAAACACCTGTGGACTCAGGGTACACAGCACCACTAGTATTCTTACAATCTTTCATTATAAAGCAAGTAAAATCCAGTGTTCCAGCCAGCACCTGTTTTTCCCTCACTTGAAAGACTTTTGTTAGCCTGGGTGTCATCCGATTTGTAACGAAACGGGGTTGCCGTTATAAATCGGATGGCACCCAGGCTAGACTTTTGCTGCATATGGCGGAGGAAAATTTTGCCCAATCTGTCATCTTTGAGAGATACAGACACGCCTTGTCCAGAAGACAGTCAGAATTTTTCAACACAATCAAATTCAATTCATGCCAATTTACACACATTATAGATCAATGAATTTGCTTGAAATTTAGCCCTAGGATTTGTAAATTACAGACCATCCAAACACATGAACAACATCCTGATTGGAGGCTCTGTGGACAAAGACTGCCAGATGTCTAACTTGTAACTTTGAACCCGTAAATAATTTGATCAGGTTGGTAAACGATTGAATAGCAAAGTTCTTTGATCACAACCATTTATTTTTACAAGCCGGCGTTTCGATGACCGTCTGTCATCTTCATCAGGGCAATTCTGACTGGTTTGCTGTGCACTGATGCTAGATGTTACTTGGTGCATAGTGCACCACTACATGTATCTGTAACTCTGAAATATAACATACGTGTCCATAATATCACCAGGGAACATAATATCGCCACCTTGAGAAAGTGTGCTTTAAGATATTTTTACTGCAACATACTTTTGGTATGCACTCCTGCACACCTAAAAATGTACATACCTAGGGTATTTGCAATAAAATTTTGCAATAAAAATATCTTTCAGCACACTTTTTCTCAAGGTGGCGATATTATGGACCCTGGTGATATTATGGATGCAGATGTTACAGATTGTATGTGTTCTCCAGCTGCCAAGGATAGCGTGGATGTTGCCTGCTGGATAGTGTACGGTACAGATGCCAGTAGACTGTCCCTGCTGTACTACCTGTACTACACCAGCTGTGCAGGTGGCCTGTATCCTCTGGTGGAGACAAGCAAAGGCGCTGGGCAGGAGTTGAAAATAAAGGTACGGTAAAATTCATTAATGATTGTAGGGACCATGTGAGCTACCAATGACACTGAAATACAACAGTTTAATTTCTTGAGAATACTAGTCAAACCTCTGAACTGTAATATGATTTGCAAGATTTGATGCTCCACAAGATCAGAAGAGTGTGCTAGTAAGAATATGACAGTATGTTTTATCCAAACACCTTTGTTCATTGAATAATATCTATCACGTTTCAGTAATGATAGTATTTTTGGGAACTGTTGTATTTGTAATGTAACTTAACAAATTGGTGTCATATGGTCTTTAATTTCACAGTAGGAAATTAAAATGGGGCTAAAACAATTCAAGTACGTAATGCAATGGATATGTGTATAGCTCAGTATATATAAAGCCTGGAAAAAACATCAAGTTCATAAAAAGTGTTGTATTGTAGGGAGGAGCCCAGCAGGTTTGTGAGTTGATGGTGGGGAAGATTGGCAGGCAGAACGTGTGGTTGAACCAGCCCGTCACACACATCTCACAGCAGGCTGACGGAGTCACAGTCACCACGGCTACAGGCAAGACAGTTCACGCACAGAGAGTCATCTGTAGTATTCCACCACATCTAGCAGGTAAGGTTTGATTCACCAGAAAATAACACTTAAAAATTCTGTTGGAATTGTGTGTGTGTGTGTGTGTGTGTGTGTGTGTGTGTGTTGGTTTCAGATTTGACTGACTCAATTACTGATCTGCTAATACCCACTACTCTAGATCTGTTGGTTACTGACTCAATTACTGATCTGCTACTGATCCACTACTGTCAATATATATAATTAAACTGTAGCATTCTATCTAGTCTGTAGATAGATTAAATATTGAACATGCCTGTCTGTTCATACATATATGCATACAGGTTACTGGTAGGATAGAGTATTCTATAGTGAACTTGCATGTTTGTTCTATGTACATGTATGTACATGTACTAAGTAGGTAGGATAGAGTACTATTCTATAGTGAATATGCCTGTCTGTTCTATGTACATGCATGTATGTATGTACATTTAGGTAGGATAGAGTATTCTATAATAGTGAACATGCATGTTTGTTCCATTTACATGTATGTATTATGTAGGTAGGATAGAGTATTCTATAGTGAACATGCCTGTATGTTCTATGTACATGTATATATACAGGTAGGATAGACTATTCTATGGTGAGCATGCTTGTTGTTCATGTATGTATGTAGGGGGGATAGAGTATTCTATAGTGAACATGCCTGTCTGTACATTGTACATGTACATTGTATGCAGGTAGGATAGAGTACTCTCCCCCTCTGCCCATGGAGAGAGACCACCTGACACAGAACATGCCTGTTGGACACACCATCAAGTATGTGGTGACATACCGGAGGGTAAGTACACAGCTACTTGTTGTTGAACGTTGGTATTAAATATTCTATTTCTTTATCATTATGTATTTATGTGAAATGGAATAATAAGAAAACTGAGGTCCAAGAAGTGTATTTTATGTATAGGAAATGTATGATACTGTATCCTCATTGGGAAATACCTGATTGAATTACATTATATTGATTATTACTCATGAACTCATGGACCTTTCTTTGATGATCATTATTTATTGTTACCTTTCTAGTTTATTTTGTATAGCTTAACAAATCCTTTGTTCAATTGTTTGTCTATATTTTCCTAGGCTTTCTGGAGGGACAGAGATTTCAGCGGTGAGGTGGTGGCCTTTGACAGGACTGCTGATGTAGATGGTTGTGACACAGGTCCCATACAGATTGCCTACGATAACACCTCAGGAAATGGCAACCCTGCCCTGGTGGCATTCATGTGCGCAAACTACGCCAAACAGTGGGCCAGCAGAAGTGTAAGTATGTACTGAAGGGTTTGATTTGATTTATTGAAATTGCAACAGTGCAATACACGCGGAACAGAGGCAGCTGTTGCTGGTGTTGTGTCCCGTACATAGAAACGAATACTGGACAGACAATACTCATTTTCACTTGAGTCTATAGTGGGGAAAGTCGTGTAAAGTGCCTTTCCCAAGGGCATAAGATCGGTGGCATGTCAGGACCGCGGGACCTCTTGATTCCAAGTCATGCGCACTGCTGTTGCGCCACACGACCCCTACAGAAGGGATGTGATCATGAGATTATGAGTCAGGATAGTAAAAGACATTACAGTTACTGTAAATCTGTTTTTTGGCGAGTGAGTCAGTCAAATTTAGCCTGGGTGCCATCGTCCATGGTAGCTGAGCGACATTAGGGAGCCAGTGGAAACTACAGCGGATGGCACCCAGGCGTGGTCAAATTACGTTTGAGTCGTATTCTTGAATGATATATTCATGTACAATGTAGTTATGTTCAATGCACAAGCATATGAGTGCTTATAAGCTAATCATGTACACGTGGTTTGAGTCAAGATTTTTATTTACTTTTTATAGCCAGGTTACCTGTATAAGATGTACAAATAGAAATATGTCTGCAATATATTTTTAGTTTGCATATTGTGTTAGTACTTTAACTTTAAAATACTTGTGACTCAACTACTCATGTTATTCTCTCTTTCCAGGCAGAACAGAGAAAAGCTGCTGTTCTTAAGAAATTTGCTGAATACTTTGGGGAGGAGGCAAATGATCCGTTGGACTTTGCGGAAAAGGTACACACACAAAAAATAGAATTATGCGGTAAACAATATACTAAGTCTTTAAGAAATAGACCATTACAATTTTTAGTGACACACATTGCCAGTTTTTCATTGAACTTGTCCATCCTCTTTTTCAGTCCACTGGTCCTCCAATCTGTTCCATACTGGGAGTGAGTTAGATGTTGGTGAAAACAGACAAATGAATTGATCATCCTATGTTTGGGATGTAGAACATGTGCGTATGATTTGATTTTCAACCCCCTCAGGACTGGGGTACAGAGCCCTACAACGGTGGATGTCCAGTTAATATCATGGTGCCAGGACTAATCACCAGCTTCATCCCAGCACTCAGGAGACCATGTGGAAGGTAAGGACACACATGCACAGAGGACTTACATGTACTTGATCATGAAAGTTCATCTGTGCTCTTGGTAGTTACATGTTTAGAGTCATAAAATGTTTGTTTCAACACAAAGCAAGGATTGTTCTCAGTCACCTAGAGCTTTTGAGCTGTTGTTGTTGTTTTTTTTCAATAAAGTGATCCAGTGAGATTTGTCACATGGCTTTTCTAAACTGTATAGGTGAGAACTTTCTTTGTGTTGGACAAAAAGTCTTAACTCTCAACAGAGGACTTAGATGAATTACTATCTAGGACTTAGACGGTTATTGTGTCTAACCTTCACCGACGACCAATGGTATGTTTTACCCAGAATCCACTGGGCCGGGACAGAAACAGCCTCTTTGTGGTGTGGCTTCATGAACGGTGCAGTGCAGTCTGGGATACGTGCGGCGGTTGAGGTTCTCTCTACAACGAACCCCCAGCTTTTGACCAAAGCCGACCGGCAGGAGCTAGTCGCTGTGCCACACGAAGTAGAAACTCCCGCGAGGGAAGCACATAGAAAGAAGAGGGGAAGAGTTGGTTCTGTGTTGGTCGGGGCAGGACTTGTAGTCGGTACATCTCTGGCAGTTTATTACTACATCAAAACTTGATGAATCATGAAAGTTCATCAACTGTGTTGATAGTTACATGTATAAAGGTACATTTAAAACTTTTTTTTTCAACACAAAGTGGCAATCTTCTCACCTAGAGCTTTCGACCAGTCACTCTGATCTTCCTCATTAGACTGACCCAATGAGACACTGACTCAGATGGGTTTCTCTGAAGTGTGATGTCAACACTGGGTCAAAGGTATCTGCTCAACTGTGATGAGGGTCAACATCATTTACCAGATACTTTTGACCCAGTGTTAACGTCACACTTCAGATGCAGAGAAGCCATGTGACAAGCCTTATTGGGTCAGTCTACTGAGGAAGACCAGAGTGACTGGTCAAAAGCGTTACATGTAGGTGTTAAACCAAGATTTCAAAAAGACTTGATGATATTGTTTCGGGTTGCTTAATGTTTAGTAAATTTTCAGGTGCTTCAAAGCTGCACGTATCAATTGTGGGGAGACAAATGCCCAGGTAGCTAGCTGATATGAGGTAACAGGTTTGATTCCTTCATTGGTTTGATCTGATATTCCTGGCCAGACATTGTGTCCTTGGGAAAGTCACTTTACATGACATTCCTCACTCCAACCAGATGTGGAAGGAGTGGGTGGGGTTTTGCCAATACCGTGCCCTACATACAGTGGATGGACAACCCACTGCCTTTCAGCCTCAAAAGATTCTCAAAAAGGCCCCGGGACCATAATCTTAAGCCAGTTTAACTCTTTTTAACTCTATGTTTTTGTATAATATTGAAGTGGTCTTCTTGCTTCCATGATAACTATTAACGTTGGCAATATATTGTGCAATAATAGTGGACAATGAGATGGTCAATGTACAACATTTATTTGTGTACTAATCTTGTGATGTTGAATCCATTGCTTCAGCCATCTGTCATATTTTAGATAGAAAGGTGCTTTTGGAATAAACTGAGTTTTAGGCCCCCTTAATTACCCAAAGATGGGTATGGGAGTGTGTGTATCTGTTTGTCACACTTGTACCGATGTCAGATGTAGAATGTATTGTATTTGATTTCAATAACTGCCCTATTAACATTAGCATATTAAAAATATGAAACTATTATTATAATATACTAGGAATATCAAGAATATTTTATGTTGATATCTTGAGAAGAAATACATATAAGTGCAATTCTACTTTGTTATCAAGCATGGCTACATGTATACATTAATGTGTGTAATGTAAATACATGTAGATGTTATGATTGTGAGTCAAAAAGTGCTTTGAAGGAAGTCATTGGCTTCAAGCAATTTTACAATATTTTCTGATTTAAAAGTGTTAGTGGAAAGATGTTACATGTACAATGTACCTAGAGAGTTCCTCATTTTTATAATTAGTGTGTAAAATCAGCATCTTTTCACTCACTCTCAGGGAAATCATTTAGACAGTCCATTTAACGTCTTAGTGTGATATTTTTGATAATATATTTAATGTGCAACAGTCAAAAATTATTTTAGATTGAGTCAAAATCATTATGAATATTCCACAGTTTCCTGAAGTTTTGCTAAAATTAATGTAAAGTCTGGTAATGCTACTGGGTACTGTAAGACCGTCATATTGTAAAAAGATGGTGAATTAAATTATAAAGAGATAGCTGTATTACCAGTAAAATGAATACAATATCAGTGATTCCTGAGGTCCGCAACATCACATACCCAGGGGTTTAAGGCATTCCTGAAAAGGCCTCGTAACACAATTATGTTATATTAAGAATTCAAAATGTTGATGTTACATGTCTAATTACAAAAGTTGTGTAAAATGCTGTTGCATGTTATAGCAACTTTGTTATATTTTGGTTGTATGAGCTCCAAAATACGAAAATCCAAAGTGCGAAGACTACATGTACCGGTAGTCCTACTGACCTTGAGTCTTAACAGATGCAAATAAACCATTAGTTTTGAAACGTCCACTCTTGATTAATAAAGGGTTAATGCCCCGACCCGAGGTGCACATAGTGAGATAATCCCTGGTTGGGTGCGATAACCACCGAATAAACCACTGAGTGCAGTGTCAAATTCATTTGTGTGACCACACCACCCCCACCCCTCTCCTGTTTAACACTATGTCACATCCAGTAGACTTCTAGCAAGAACCTATCAGATTACTACTTATTACATGTTACGATTTAATGTTTAGTCAAAGTCAAACTGCAGACCGGTTCCCTCCAGCCTATCCCTGTACTTGTCATCGTAGGCTTCATTTTGAGACGACGAGAAAGACTTCCTCCACTCACCAATGACACCTATTAACAGGGCGTCACAAATGAAAATACTGAGTAAATAGATAAACAAATAGATAATGGAATACATGTAAAATAAATCCTGACTGTATTAGAATGTTCTTTCTTCAACAACCAGTGGGTTTTCACATTTAATGTATCACCTTCTTCAGGGCAACAAAGACTGGGTCTGATGTGTACTACAGCTAGGTGCCGTTCCTGCAATACTACAAATGTGGTCCCATTCGTATTCTTACTAAATCTTAGGTGTATGAAAACATTTGTATATTGCGGCACCTTATAGTTAGCTGCAGTACAAATCAGATCCAGTCTTTGTCATAATATGTACGTTGTATGTTGGCCTGAAGAAGGTGACAGACAGTAACCGAAACGATGTGCTATTTGGACACCACACCATTCCAATTCATGGGAAAGAAGGTGACTGTACTGTCGAATGCCATCAGTATTGCGTAAAAAAAGGTAATGTTTCTTCACCTTTCCAAGCGACGATACGTTTTATTTGGTTTCGTGAATCGGCCCAAGAAGATTTCAGGCCAACAAAGGAGCAGGACTCAACGATGCTTGAGGTGGTGACGTCATCCAAACTGATGTTCAGGAACTCCTTTACCCTCCTAACGGCACCGGACAGGTCCTATGTATGACAAGTGGGCAAAAAAGTTATCTGTTCACATCACAATCGGACCCCCGCTCTTTTCGATAAGATTGGTAGGTAGGTAGGAACATGCTTGAGGGGTGCCTCTCCTCAAACACGAGGCCTCCGGCTTAACGGCCTATCCGAGAGGTCTTCTCTTTGAGCTGTAGGTACTCATTTTGAGGAAATAGATCGGTAATGTGCCTTTCCCAAGGGCTCAACATCAAGTTAACATCCCTAACCACAAGACCACCTTGTCACTATGCTAATGTCACTACACTTCTTCCCAATGCTGTTACAAGAAAAAAACTAACCTTCTTCATGTCTTCATACTTCAGAAACAGGAAATGAGGGTCGTCTCGCATCTGCCACCAGCCAAGGGCGTGGTCATAGAAGTCACCATACAGTGCTATATAGGAATTACAATCCATTGTTCTAGTGGCTACATCTGCACAATTTCAAAGAATTAGTTCAAACTGAGTTGAATCAACCCTACTCCATTGCGAACAAGTGTTATTCAGGAGCAGGAACAATATTACATCAAAGGAGTGTATACAAGCTGGGATAGTATAGTGTAATGTTTGTTTACAGCTGGTATTTTGCGGTGGTGCCACAAAATCATGAGTGCACCTTGTGCTTTATCACCAGCCAGAAATGTGAGATAATTGCACGACTATGTTGAAAATTACAATCCAGTGAAGATTTTTTCAATTAAAATATTTGAATTTTTGGTGCAAAAATGTTACACAATGCTCTTTTAAAGTTTACATCCCGTGGCATGTACAGGTAGATAGAATATGGTTTGTACAAGAATCCTTTTTGGTGTCAGAAAGGGAACTCAAGTCTACCTCAATTAAATTTTGCATCACGACTGCGAATGGGCACTTGGATCTGTGAAGTGGCTTATTACTTCACAATTGTGGGTTTGATATTGGGGCTCACCTTTCCCATTCAAGAAGCCTTGTACACAGTCTTCCCAAGATGTGTAACCGCGTATGCCCGTCAACTCTTCCAGCTTGCGTAAGAAACGGTACAGGGACACTACCGTGTCTTTCGGGTTTCTCATGACGACTATAACTTTCACCTGATTCAAATTCAAAGTTAATTTTAATATAACCATACCTCAAATATAACATTATCTACTCTTGAGCTACGGTAGTGGGATATTTGCAGAAGGCCGTAATAACGGACCTTTTAACGTGATAATATGATACTATAAGAATTAAAGGAAGAGATACACTAATGTTTCATTCTTGTAAACGAACAAAAGCACAAGAACACAAGTCGTCTATTAAATGTACTTATTTTCTGAACAAGACGACACATTTCTACTAGTTTTCTTTTAATAATGTGATAATATAATTCTGGATAGAACCAGAGGAGCAGAATAAACAAATAAACAGCACCGAATACCTTCCCCTTCGGACTGGAGATCATTTTTGGTGCCAGGTGCCATGGAAGGTGTGTGTGAATGATCCTTGGCGACGGTTGGTCCTTCAGAATCACGTGACCTGGCTTGCCAAATCCCGGTAATGTTACTTCAATGCCAAATGCAATGTCTTCCGCAGCGACATCTGTCTTTCCAGCAGCCCTCTGTAGTCTGTTGACGATCTCTATTGTCCAGTTAGTACCTGGAAAACAATTACAAAGTTTAGGATGCAACGTAACGCTCCATTGTTTTGATATGTCGGCATTATCGGAATGATATTAAACAAAGTTCTTCTGAAATACTTGGCAAAGGTATGGGGTCGTCGAACTCTGAGTCAATTTTTGTCGTTTGTTACTTTTAATTAATTGACGGTTTATATCTTTACCCTGGGATTGTTGCTATGGCCCGCACGTCGACTTTATAGTCTATATCAAGGATGAACTGAAACTGCATGATGACTGCATCCAGACTCCATATGGAACAAGGATCGTTGCATCCGTATATCGCTATTAATTTCTTAAACTTTGCCATTGTCATCAATGTATAACCCAATACAGAAAGTAACTTGACAAAACTATTACCTGCTCTTGGATAGGTGACAATGGCGACATCATCATCACGTATGACGTAATCAGGAATGGCATCGAGCGACTCTTTTGTAACCGTTGGGCGGAAGGGTATACCTTTGTAATACCAACAATCCATCTCTACAGTGCTTCTGTTTTGATCAACAAAAGCTAAAATGAAAAACAAGAAAATTTAATATTTCAAGCTTTTTAGGGATTGTATTGGGTACCCATGGATGTTTTGGTACTGTATCGTATCATGAGAGGAAAATACTAGTAACCTAATGAACTTAAAATTTGTAATGGGGCTAGCAAAATGCACCAAGACAGATTGTCAGGCGCGATATACAATACCTATAATACCTTTCTAATATGTCATAATCATATTAGTATCAGACAAATCTGCCATTAAATAGCTTACTCACCCGCTTGTTACAGCAAACGGCAAACAGGCAGTGTGCCGTCACCACGTCTTGTGACCACATGTTCGAACATAAAAAAAAAACAGGTAGGTTCAAAGTCTTAAAGTTCAAACGGTCAGCGGCCTCGTGACTACCTTGCTGGAGTCGTTGAATTCAAATTTATTGGATTGTTTATAGGCAACACCGTCTTAATGGATGACATCTTCTGAAAACCCGCCAAACTAGTGCGCGCGGGCGAATAAAAATTCCGGCCAAAACTAAAAATGCTACTAAACCACAGGAATACAAAGCTGGTATTGTGAATTTGCGGCAGTACATAGCGACGTATACGCGACAAGTCGGCACATGCTGGCTTTTTGCGGAATTTATGAATCGGCACTGTACGTATGTACTGAGTCCTTGAGTCGTGGAGCTTCGTTAGCTATAGCCTGGGTGACCTTCCTCCAGAGTTACCACCGGCTCCGTATTGTCGCTAACTACTATGGAATGCCCAGTCCTAGAGTCAAGCAAGAGCCTCGAAGGACGTGATCTTAACAAAACATTAAACCGTAACATGCAAGTACACGTATTCATCTGCTTGGCCCTTGCTAGAAATTTACTGGATGTGAAGTAGTGTACACAAGAGAGGGGGGTGATTGGGGGGGGNGGGGGT